GTGATCACAAAAAATCCATAAGCTCAGACCAACAAGCAAAATGCAGCAAACTAAAAGAATCTACCACATTGACAACATTTATCACAAATAATATGACTAAGTGATAAATTAGTATATATGGCTATTTAAAAGGAAAATTTTAATTGATATCCTCTGAATCTAAAAACAAATTAAAATTCTAAAGCAATGTACCGGAGAGGCACAATTATTGTAAAGTTGGACAAATTGAAAGGAAAACACAAGGTCCTGAAAACATTATGACTATGTTATTGATGGGCATCCCCAAAGTATGCTAAACAACATGGAAAGTTTACAGAATTTAGTCCTCAAGCAGTCTTTTCTTACATATTTATTAAAGTATTTTAAGGCAATACATATAATTGTGGTTGTACATTACTCAAATCAAGAAATTAGCATCTCAACCCTGTATCCAACAAACAAATGCCATAAATTTTGCAAAGGAAGAAACTTTATGATGGTTAAAACGAAAGGCAAGCCAAAGTTTTAAACTTTGAAACATTTCATCATCGGTGCATAACAAGCGTTATTTCGTTCAAGCATTCATCCGAAAGCACCTACATCAAATATTTTCCAGGATGTCTTCTAATTTCTCTGTGTGGTAGACCAAGAGCTTAAATTTCCCCCACACACCATTACAAAACTAATATCGTTAAGTTTGCGGTAATCTAACTCCATGTGGTAGATTGTTTGGGAAACTAACAAATATCTACATTTTGGGGTAAATTTTGGAGATTGATTTGTGGAGTATATAGGTGGAAAATCCATCAATTTACCAAAACGTGATGATTAAGAGATTCAAATTCTAACACATATATATATATATACACACACACACATTGAAAAAAAATCAAATTTCTACAGTATCAGGCTCCAGATTAAGGAAACATTAGGAAATATTTAACAAAAAATGGATCTTCTGATGAAAATTTGAATAGGGAAGGAGCTAGCTTGCCTCCGAGATCGGTATCGAGCCATTTGGACTGCTTGGTCCTGATGTTGCTGGCCCACCACCAAGAGTAGGCATTGCTGGCCGCTCTCTGCAACATCTTCTTCCTCCTCCGGATCCCTCTCCCCCCACCTCTCTCTCTCTCCCCTCAACGTGAAAAAAAAAAGATTATGATTATGATTACGGTGAAGAGAGAGAAAGGGATCAAAATGTCAATGTTGCTTTTGCTGAATGCGTTCTAAATTTGGAAGTGAATGCCGATTATTTAGGAGGGGGAGGAGGAGCAACGGGCAAGGTTTCATATGCTTTAATATTTTGGAATTTGGGAGATTAATGCATGCGCAGCACGTTGCCGGGCCAAAAAAAAAAAAAAGGAAAAAGGAAATTTTGTTCTTCCAGCTCACGCGGCTTCATGATTCCGTATCAAGTTTTCTGAATTATATCTGGGTCAATTAATGTTTGTGTCGGAGGGAGATTGGAAGTAGAATAATATTTGCAACCTGTGCTCCATGAAAATAATTCCAACGATATGGGAACTGTGCTCCATGAAAATGCTGGCTGTTACGTGCACAAGAAAAATGGCAACTCTAACTGATGGGAACCGGGGTCCATCCCCACGATGAATTAATATGAATTTAATCCACGGAGATTTTGTGGTTGACTACATGCATGTATTGATAGATTGTTTTTTCTCATGCATTAGGAAAAGGAAGGGCTAGTCTTTGGACTTCCTCATGTAATGAATGTGGTGTACCCAATAGGCATATCCTACTTATAAATACAGGAGAGATGGTGAAGGCTGAAAGCAAGAAGCAAGAAGAAGAACCACATACAAATCTGTAATCCTCAAGTGAGTTTGAGAGAAAGTTGTAATCCTCGAGTTTGAGAGAAAGTGATCCTCAAGTTAAGTTATACCAACTTAAGAGAAGACAATTTGTAAGCATTCATTTGATTATAATGGAAACAGTGAAGAAGGGGCGGGTGAGGACGTAGGTTCAATTTGAGCTGAACCTCGGTAAATATTGCGTGTGCGATCTCTCTATTTCTCTTTGTATTTCTTTGTTTTTCTCTTCTATTTTTTATTCTCATCTCATCACAAAGACGAGAAAGTTCTTGTTGTACTGTTAATTTCCCAATAGTGGTATCAGAGCAAGGTTGCTAATCTTCTTGTGTTGAGATGGAGACTCCTATCAGCGGCGTTCGAATAATCAGTTTGAATGGCCGCAATTGGATGATATGGAAGGCGAGATGATGGATCTTCTATATTGCAAGGACCTCTATGCATCAGTTGAAGGTGAATCCTCCAAGTCAGAGTCCATGTCAGCAGATGATTGGAAGAAGCTCGATCAGAAAACTATTGGTACAATTCGGCAATGGATGGATGACATTGTATTCCACCATGTGACAAATGAGACTTCGGCGAGCAGCTTGTGGAAGAAACTTAAAGATCTCTACGAAAGAAAAACCGTCAGCAACAAAGCTTTCTTGATTCGGAAGCTTGTCAATCTCAAGTTCAAGGAGGGTGATTCTATATCTGAACATTTGAATGAAATTCAAAGTATTGTAAATTAACTTGTAGTCATGAAAATGGTGTTGGAAGATGAGCTTCAAGCCCTTCTTTTGCTTAGCTCGTTACCAGATAGTTGGGAGACGTTGGTGATGTCTCTTAGCAACTCTGTACCTGATGGAGTTGTATTCATGAAACAAATTACAAGCAGCCTCCTGAATGAAGAAATACGAAGAAAGTCATTTGGATCCTCCTATTCTCATGCTCTTGTTACCGAGAACAGGGGATGGGCAAATATCGACAGCCTCGGAATCGAGACAAGTCAAGAGGAAAATCAAAGGTTAGAAAGGATATTAGTTGCTATCACTACGGGAAGAAAGGACACATAAAACGAGAATGTTGCAAGCTCAAGCGAGAACAAAAGGAAGGAATGACCAATGACAAACAAGAAATGAATGAAAGTGCAGTCGTTGTCAGTGACAATGAAATTGTGCTTTTCTCGGCATGTAAAGAAGACTGTGCAGGTCTCACTTGCCAAGACTCGGAATGGGTGATTGATTCCAGTGCCTCCTACCATGCTACTCCCCGGAAGGACTACTTCACTTCGCTTCGTGAAGGTAATATTGGAATGGTAAAAATGGGTAACAAAAACTCTTCTCAAATTCTTAGCATTGGAAATATTTGTGTTACTACTAACCTTGGAACAAAGATGGTTCTAAAAGATGTTAGATTTGTGCCCGATTTTCGTCTCAATCTTTCTCTACTAGCAAGCTTGATGAAGAAGCATACACGAGTAGCTTTGATAAAGGATGTTAGAAGCTTACCAAAGGATCACTTGTACTAGCAAGAGGAAAGAAGTGTTGCACTCTCTATAAGACTTAGTTTCACTTAGAGAATGATGAACTTGGAATAGTGGAAGGTATCTCTATGGATTTGTGACACAAGCGGCTTGACCACATGAGCGAGAAAGGGCTATAAACTCTTGCAAGGCGACAACTACTTCCATCCATGCAAGGTACAATACTATCCCACTGTGATCACTGCTTGATTGGGAAACAACATCGGGTTCCTTTTGTTAAAAATATAACAAAAAAAAACTAGCATATTGGACTTAGTCTATTCGGATGTATGCGGACCCATAAATAAAAAAAAACTTTTAGTGGTGCCTCATACTTTGTGACCTTTATAGATGATGCATCTAGAAAGGTGTGGGTGTATATCATAAAAACCAAAGATCAAGTCTTTGAAGTTTTCAAAGACTTTCATAAAAACCAAAGATCAAGTCTTTGAAGTTTTCAAAGACTTTCATACCAAAGTTGAAAGAGAAACCGAAAAGCTCTTGAAGTAATCAAGTCTTTGAAGTTTTCAAAGACTTTCATACCAAAGTTGAAAGAGAAACCGAAAAGCTCTTGAAGTATATTTACACTGATAATGGTGGTGAGTATACTTCAAAGATGTTTGAAGACTATTGTTCTTTTTATGGCATTAGATACCAAAAGACTGTTCCACACACACCGCAACACAATGGGACTATAGAAAAGATGAACCGTACAATTGTGGAAATGATAAGGAGTATGCTATCCTTAGCTAAATTACCAAAAATATTTTGGAGAGAAGCAGTGCGAACAGCCTGCTACTTGATAAACATGTCCACCTCAGTTCCCTTGGATGGAGATATTCTTGAAAGAGTTTGGAGTGGAAAGGATATTTCCTATTCTCACTTGCGTTGTGTTCGGGTGCAAGGTATTTGTACATGTACCTAAGGAGAAAAGAACAAAGCTTGATGATAAAGTTATTCCATGCATCTTCCTAGAATATTAAAATGATGAATTTAGGTATAGGTTGTGGGATTCTAAAAATAAGAAAATTGTGAGGAGCAGGGATGTTGTTTTTTGTGAAGATAAAACACTTTCTAATTTTGAAAAAGAAGAGGAGCCACAAAACACTCATATTATCCAGATTCAATCTCTACACCAGTTGTTTTTCCTTCTCCCATGCTAGAAAATAATGATTTTCAAGATGTGCAGAAAGAAGAAGAAATTGCAAGTTCCCCAGGTTTTGATCAGGGGGAGCATGAACATCTAGAGCCACCATATATGGATCAGCCACAAGTACCTCAATTGAGACGGTCAGAGAGAGAATGACAACCCTCAACTAGATATCCTGCTTTAAAGTATACTATAGTAACAGATACAGGTGAACCGAAAAGTTTCCATGAAGCACAAGTTCATGATAATCGTGCAAAGTGGAAGAAAGCTATGCAAGAGGTGATGGATTCTTTGCATAAGAATCACACTTATGACTTGGTGGAGCTACCTAAGAACAGAAAAGCCTTAAAGAACAAATGGGTGTTCAAAATCAAGAATGAAGGAAATGACCAAGTCAAGTACAAAGCTCGCCTCGTGTCAGAAGAAAGATGTTGACTATGAAGAAATTTTTTTCTCTTGTTGTAAAGATGTCTTCTATTTGGGTTATTTTTGGTCTTGCTGCTTCTCAAGACCTTGAGGTTGAGCAG